GGCAAGCAATTTTCCAAGACGATTTGACAATCAGCTCTTTCCTTGTAATCATTTTATTACTAACGGGGTGATTTTGAATCTTGCTATTTATAACAAATATATAAAGACCTAATATAGAAGTGCAATATGCAGACCCAAAACAAGGTCTCCAGTAACCAGGGCCTGGTGATAAGGGGGGTTTACGGTAGACCAACGAGTGCGCGAGAGAACTTATCTTTTCAGGCACTTTTAGTTATGTATTCAGCTCCAGCATTTCTCACCTTGGAAAGCTGTAGAAAAGAGGGGAATGCTTTTCGAAAGACAACGTTTCAACCAGGTACATCAATATGTCTGAATTTACGAAAGCTACTAACCAGTCTGAAACCAGCCAAAACACATTAACCAAAACGCCAAACCAACAAGGAACAACCTTCAGTTAAATAAAGACGCATAGTTAATACTTCAGAAATACTTAATTCATTCGAAATAACAGTTTCCGCGGTAAACGCCTTTAATACAAGGAATTGCTCGAATATGGGATAATTTAGATACCTGCTCAAGCGCCTGAACGCTTTGCCCAATAAATTTACTTAAACGTATATGCTGCAAGGAAAAGAACCTTTTCCGGAAGGAGCTATGCGGATACGTAGAATGCGCAGCGTTTCACTTGCCTAAAATGATTACACCAGTCTCCGTCATGACGTTTCATGCGTTAATTGCCGCGAAATACATAAGGAGCTGGTATTCTTTTGAAAAAATCAGAATTTCTGAATCCATTGGAGCCACAAGATTATATACATTTAACTGATCAACTTCAAGAGAAAGTGTTTTCCTGTGGACCAACTGAAAGAAGTGTACATTTTCTTCCGACCCCCGAAGATCAGTCGAAAAAAATACCGGTGTTGTTTGTTGAGAGTGTGACCAGCAAAGCTGGTTGCGAAAACCCACAATTGGAAATAAAGTCAAATGTAGCTGGCTTACGGCAATTTCCTTTCAAAAGATCAGCTACTGAACTGTTGACAGTTTTGTTTGCAACATTCCACCCGTCGCAAATGGTTTTACGGAGGATATCGACTACTTTCACCGTTCCAACTGTACGACGAGACATATTTTTTCAGTGTTTTACAAATTTCGGGCTCATGCAGTCGTTAAGTTATAGCGAAGTTTGATTCTTAGACATGTGATTATAAGTCTCAAAGGAACACATGTGCAGATCTTCAAAACTTTTGCCGTTTTTACTTCGAACCTCTTGTTTTTGGTGTTTTTCAACTCATGGCCTATTTATTTTTTAGCACTGATCCTCGGCGTTCCTTCTACAAGCAAAGGATGTCACCGGGTGAGTAAATGAAGTTAATAATATAATAAATGAAAAAAAAGAATAAAATAAAA